TGAAGGCCCTTCCACTTCATCACTCACCACCTCCTCTGCTTTCTTCACCCCTGGCTCTTCCTGAGGTTCCAGCTGCTCCTCTTCTTGTTCCTCCTCCTCCTCTGCTCTTACCTTCTCCTCTTCCGGTTCCTTCGCTTGTGCATATGATGGTAACCTCTCATCAAATGCCCTGGAGAGATCTTCCAATGGTCCCATTCCAATCTTCTCCTCAAACTCATTGAAGGCTGATGGAAGAGGACTGGGCTCGACCCCTACTTCCGTGAGAGGGAAGTAGAGGGACACCGGCTTCTCTTCTTCCAGCAGCTTGTAGCCTTTGGTCTTCGGGATGGAGGGGACTGTGATGGCATGGAGGGGCTTCTCCGGGACCTCCCCCAGCTGTTCCTCCGCTGGTCTTCTCAGAGCCCTCCGGATCCTTTTCAGGATCAAGTGACTGATCTCCACCAGGTTGAGGAAGAGGGACACAGAAGCCACCACCAGCATGAACATAATAAAGATGGTCTTCTCCGTGGGCCTGGAGACAAAACAGTCCACAAGATTGGGACAGGGCCACCGCCCACAGCGGTAAAGGGGGAGAATTCGGAAGCCGTATAGGAAATACTGACCTACTATGAATCCCACCTCAAAGAGGGTTTTGAAAATGATGTGGAAGATGTAGGTTCTCAGGAGGGTACCCTCCAGGCGAAACTTCTTGGTCCCGTCAGGGTTGTTGCCTTTGTTTTGATTCGGAGCCAGGGGCAGCTTCTCTTCATCCACCTCAGCTTGCTGACGCCTCTCAGCTTCCTCTCTCTCTTTCCTCTTCTCCTCCATGCGGACGTGGTGCACCGCGTGCCCAAAGTACATTAGCGAAGGCGTGGATACAAAAATGATCTGCAGGACCCAGAGCCGGATGTGGGAGATGGGGAAGGCCTCATCATAGCAGACGTTCTCGCAACCAGGTTGCTGGGTGTTGCACACAAAGTCTGACTGTTCGTCTCCCCACACTAGCTCGGCAGCTGTTCCCAGGATCAGGATGCGGAAAATGAAGAGCACCGTGAGCCAAACTCTCCCGATGACAGTGGACTGCTCGTTCACCTGCTCTAAAATGTTCCCCAGGAAACTCCAGTCACCCATTTCTTACTGTCTAAGGAAAGAAAAAAGAAAGAGAATGACCGCAAATTATGCTAAATTTAAAAGATTTCAGGTTTTCCCACTGACGCCTGTTGCTGCTTTCAACTAGTATTTTCCTAATATGCTCTGAGAACAGAAAGAAGGTTGCTTGCTTGCTGATTTGCCTGATCACAATGATTTATTAGCAGAAGAAGGGCTGGGAAGCCAGAGCAAACTGCTTGCTAAATTCTTTCTTCCCTGGCTCTAAATGGGCAATTACTTTTCAGCCATGGAGAATATTTAAATCCTTTTCCAGGTAAGAGTCTTCTGTGGTGCCTTATAGGCTCAGTTGAGCAAACCCGCTTAGATTTTGTGCACATACAAACACTTGCCAGCAGTACAGAAATACAGATTTATCAGCGTGCAGCTGCAGTGGTTAGAAAAAGAGAGTGAAGCTTTCAAGCACCCAAGCTCTTCTGCGGCAGAACCACACATGGGTCAAACAGATCTCGAATTGGTGCCCATCTTGCACATGCACAAACCTGAATTCTCTGTAGGTTGCATATATTAATTCTACATGAGAAATCACTCTGTTAGGTAAGAACAGCAATTACAACACCACTGCTATGTTAGTAATACTGTACAAGCTTAATAACTACCATATATACTAGTTTGGCTATGTAGTACGCATTATATGCAATATAATTATTCGGTGTTATTGGCGCTATTCATTGCATCCTCTTCTGAAGTCAGTTGCCACACCAACATTGGAAGCAACCTGGAGAAAAACACAAAGGTCTATAACTAGGACCTAAAATACTGTTTTCTCTCTCTAAAATGTCAGTGCTGCTATCTAAGGCTAACACAGAGCTGGAAGCCAGCTACAGATATCCTACTGGAAAGCTAAGAAAGTAGTCCATCTTCCAGTAATGCAAGTCAAATGTTACCTCTGTCATTGTTTTTGCATGATAAGAAATTATTCCTAGGCCAGGACTTCATCCTGCGTATCCTAAACTTCCCACTAAATAATTTTAGGCAACAAAAAACCAATGAATGAGGGAAATAAAGAGGAAACGTGTTTGGGATGGACTAATTTAACACATCACAGCAGTCTCAAGTCTCTGAGGAATATAGAATGTTACTACAGTGATCTAGAAAGACCAATTTACGGACCATGACCACATGGGAACATTATTCATAAAATAGCTGTTCACAAGGATCTAGAAGTTCATCTCCTAGATACTACCTCCATCTATAGTTTCCTAAATGCAGACACACATACACAAGCGCTGGGAAAAAGAAGGTACAGTCAACAGCATGGAAATCTGAGTATCTAAACTCCCTTCCTCCTTCAGATGCCACTGGGATATATTTGTAATGCCATATGTTACGACACACCAACGCATACCAGTCTGTTTCAACTACTGTGTGTACGTATTCACACATAGACAAACACAGAAAATATTGAGAGTTCTATGGCTCTGGGGAATATCACGAATTTTCAACCAAAAAAATCCTTCTGATGTTATTTTCCTAAACCAAGATGGACTCATTTTCCTTGCCTTCAAACCTTGTAAAATTTTAACCCCAGGCGCCCATGTTAGAAAAGGAAGAACAGAACGCAGCCCTTCAGCTTGCACAAACACCTTGCATGCATAAGCGGCAAACATATAATTTAATCACCGAAGAAAATTGCTACTTTCTCAGTCATTAAAGTTGTGTAAGAGAGTGTGTTAATGTCAGCACTTACATTAACAAGTCTAGCAGAAGATTATGCTGTTTACATACATTATCTAAACTGATTTAAACATTCTCTTTCTGCAGATTCACAGAGCAAAGTACACCCAACAGTTACCAATCATGTGCAACTTTGTAGAAAACACAACTACACACAATATAAACTTCATCGTCCCCCAGGCACTGCAGCTAACTCCATCCCTTTCTTTCCTTGGGAGTCACACGAATACCCACGGCTACCATTTGAACGTTTCCACTGCAGCACACAAGAACAACATTCTAGATGTGATAAACCTTATCTTATGGAAAACTCACTGTACAAGAGAAGGAAAAGTGTTTCCTGTCTAACTCGGTTCAATGTCTCGCTTGCGGCTTGCTACATTTGGCTAAGCTCTTCCTGAGATCGCTTCCAAACTAGTTACGTTCTTCAAGAATCCGCCGTGACCACCCGCTCTACTTTCTGCAAGTGAAGTGGTTCAAGGTTGCTCAATCGGTTCAACTGCAAGAAACTATTTTGGGTGGGCTGAAGATGAGTGGTATGACCACTTCAAATGTCTAGGATTCCACCTGCAAAGCAGTCGGCCCCTCAGGTCTCAAAAAAGGTGCAAGCGATGAATTCAGGCAGTCGCTTTTTTCCCTTAAGCTGCCTGTCATGAGGCAAAGAGCAGGCGACTGCCTAAGCCCACTTAGAGTCAACAGACCCGTGTTCTTAACTCACACAGGCTTGCTGCCAACCCCTACCCTGCACTTGCAGGTGTTGCAACCTGAGCACGCTACCAGCGAAAAAGACGGCATAGATTAAGGACATTGAGCAAGCAACTTGCCGCTGTGAAAGGCTCCACCGAAGAAATGTGTCCCCCTCCTCTCTTGGCACTCTGCAGGGAAGAGCGAACTTTTGTCTCTCTTCTTCCCTACCCTAAAAGTCCCAATCTTGTCGCACGACTGAGCAGATATGACTGAATTGGCTCTGATGGTGGGTTTTAGTTGCCCTGCAATATTTAAGCTCCGAGCCAGACGGCTTTATGAAGTGAGTGACAGTTAGTGACGTGAGGAACAATAGGGAGAAAAAATAGAGAAAGGGAGGCAGAGAGACAGAGAGGAGAATCCACTGGACATGAAAAAGCAGAGGGGGGAGAGGAACAGGCGACAGGCAGTGAAAACCTAATACATGCATAAATGGGAGTTTGCACAGTTAAGCAGGGACCAAAGCGCCTCTGCAATTCTGCCACGGTTAGGCGCAGATCGG